TCTAAATGCGTGGAATACAAAAACACTATCCTATGCCGGAAAGATTGAGCTAATCCGATCGGTGATCCAAGGGGTCCATTCGTTTTGGCTCCAAATCTTCCCGGTTCCCCAAACCATATTGGATAGGATAGTGTCCATTTGTAGATTGTTTTTGTGGGGTGGAAAGTTCTCAAAGGTGGCTTGGGATGACATATGTCTTCCAAAAGAAAAAGGGGGTTTAGGCATTCACAATGCCCGTAATTGGAACGATAGCCTCCTTTCTCGCACTCTTTGGGACGTACACAAGAAGAAAGATACCCTTTGGGTTCGTTGGGTTAATGGTGTCTACCTTAAGGGTAGAAGTGTGTGGGAATTTGTCCCACACGGCCGAGACTCACAACTCATGAAGAGGTTGAGTCAAATACGGGACAAAATACGAAGGTGCTTTAATAATTTAAACGAAACCATAATGGGCCTCAATGCTAGGAGTACCAATGGGAAACTATTATCGGCCAAGATCTATGAGCTTCTACGAGTAAAGGGAACCATTAGGACTCCAATGAGCTTCATTTGGAAGTCCTACATCCCCCCAAAATTCTCGTTTAATGTTTGGTTGGGCTTGAGGAACCGGCTGCCCACAGAGGATAGCCTCGGTTACCTCCACATGGTTAATAGGTGTGACCTATGTAAGGGTGGATTGGAAACAATTCCACACCTTTTCTTTCTTTGCCCATTTTTTTGTAGGGTATGGGATGAGATCAGGGATTGGATTGGAATTGGACGCCAAATGACAACAATGCTCAGCTCAATCAAATGGATCATGAAGACACACAAAGGATCAACGATGAAGGCCAAAGCTGCTCGTCTAGCATTCTGTGCAACGATCTACTACATTTGGCATGCGAGGAATGAGATACGATTTGACGAAGGAACGAAGACGGAAGAAGATGTGATTGCTAAGATCAAACATGTGGTGTATAAGATCCTATATAGCTTATACCCGCATGACATGATCAAATTTTGATGGGTGGATGTCGTCTCCTTTCTGAAGCCGCGGCATCATCTTTCTTGGACTAGGGTGTGTCAACATTGCAACACCATGATTCCTTTTTTGGGCTAAGGGGAGTGTGCATTATAACCTCCTCTTGGTAATGTATTTTCTTCTGATGGATGTATTTTGGTGAGCTGTGTGCGTGCACTTTGTAACACCGATTGGTTTTTGAGCTTTTTGGGGCATTTAAGTATTGTATACTTAGGCCCCTTTTGATTTCGATTTAGATCGAACAAAAATCTCTCCCAACCCTTACACTAGACAGGGGTGTGGGTTTTGGGAGATCAAGAACCTTTTTGATGTATTGTATTCTTTGGGTGTGAATATAAATTTATATTTCATCCAAAAAAAAATAGTGTGTACAATAGGAAACAGAGTATATTCCGTAATACAATGTACACATAATAGGCCCGCAATAACAATAATATAGGCACCAATAATGTAGATAAGCTATCATAATAGCTATCAATAATATACTCAATCATACATCATACGTAGTACAATGAACATGCAAACCCATGTGCCTTTGAACTATTCACATACATACATACGTTCTATGTAACCATCAACCAAGCCACTAACAAGGCATATGCGTATGTCTTGTTAACCATATACATTCTATGTATATGGTATGTAACCATATACGTTCTATGTCGAAATTAATTGACTGATGCCAAAGAGGCAAAGACCCAACCTTGCATACTGTTAACCCATAACCTTTCACTCAAAATTATACGAGCACTACATATTTATACACCATCCTTAACGGCCAACGTATCCCTTGCGAGCAAGAAGAAAGAAAATAAAAGAGAAGCCACTGTTACCACCTCGAGTATTAACACGGTTACCGATGCCGGAACGTAGAGGGAAAGCCAATGACGCCGGAGGTCACCGGACTGGTTCTCCACGCCGGGAGAAGCAAGACTCTCGAAGCCTGGACTGACGGCCGAGCACTCCTGGACGCCGGATTTCATCGTTGGATGACCGAGTCGCCGCCGCAGAAAGGAGATGGAAAACCTGAACGCTGGAGCTCGGTGTGACTACTGCGTTTCGCCGGTCCGGGGAAATTTATGAAGAAGACAACCCTGTGTTGTTTTTATGTAAGTAATACTCCGTACTACTATTAAATAGTGGACACGTTAATGAGCCCAAAATTAAAAGAATGTAATGATCTGAGTTGGTTAATTATTTCATTTAGACGAGATTAAAAATAATGGACGGTAATTATGTTAATTACTGAACTAATTTAAATTAGATTAATTAATAGTTATTAAGTACGATAAAATTTGTAATAAACTATAATTGAAGTAATTGAAATATTTTTTTTATAATCCGTATATTTTAATAATATTAAAATATAATTCATAATTTGGATGTTTTATAAGTAGATTAAATCAATGGCGTTTACAAACTAAAATAGTTATATTATTTGGTTATGTTATCATGATTAAATATTCGGATATAGTAATTGAAGTGAAGGACGAATTGAAATAGTAACTAATAAAAAAGAGGATTGAGAAGTAAAGTGAAAAGGACTAATAGAAGTAATTAATCAATGATTTATAAATAATCTAAAAGTTCGAATAAAATACACATGCGGGAATTAGATAGAATGATTAATAGAGTAAGGACTAATTATGTCATCTTAATTAAAAAAGGGTGATAATTTAGAGACTGGAATAAAGGAGGAGAATTAGGAGCACCGGACTTAAGGTAAGTTTCTCTGCCGATCCAAAATGATTTCCTCGTACTATATGTTATTATGTGATTAAATGTGAATTTTGAATTATGTGTATGTGATTTTGAGGAGATATTAGATCTATGGTATTTGAGAAGTGCAAACTAAGTACTTTTGGGTATTAAATAGTTTTAAATACCTTTGAGACTATTTAGAGAGATTGAGAAATATTTTTGGAATTACATCTAAAGTCAAGATAAAATTTACGTTTTCATAAGAGGTGAGCACCCGGGAGAAATCCGTGGTGTCGGTTTTCCACATCCGGATAAATGTGGAGGGTGATTAAGGCTGCTACTACTAAGAAGTACAGTTTGAGTTTGAAGTGACAATTGGATCTATGATCCCTTTTAAGAAGAAGTTATAGTAGTAGTAGTAGTCCCTAATCATTCAAGAATTTTAAAGGAGGGGTAGTTGGTAGACTGAGTCCCGATTACTCATGACGACTTACTACTCGGAGGGCTTGGAATCCCTTTTAGGGGGTGTGCACACTTAAAGTAGTCGTTTCGTTTCCATTAGCAGTTGTGGTACCGGCAAAAGTCCCGGGGTGGCCGTACATAATAACGTAACCACCGGGCTCAATCAGAGTGTTGAGTACCGCCCTTCTAAATTACTAGGAAGATAGAGAAGAAGTGAATTTTGAGAAATTCTAAGAGAATAGTTACTATAGTATTTTCAAATAAAAGTTGAGGACTTTAATAAAGAGGTGATTTTAAGAAATATCAAAGAGAAGAGAATTTTGGTGGAGTGTGTCATTTTTATATAATATTATATGAAAAACTATTTTTCGCCAAACCTGATTATTTTACGGGGTTGGGTAGTGCTTACTTAGCTCTAAAGCTAGTTTTTGTTTCCTTTTCCCTGTTTTGTTTTCTGCACTTTATTTGTGCAGTTAATGATGCTTATGTGGATTGATGATTTGCATGGTCTTGAGAGCGGTTGAGATATGCCTTAGTCAAACCTAGTCAAGAATAAACACTTTAATTTACTTATGTTTTGAACACTAGTTTTAGGTGTTTTTTTTTTGTTAGCCTGTGCATCCGGTTAAGAGATGACCGGATGTGGCGGTAACACCCATTTCCCTATCAAGACTTCCGCTGTAATTTTCAAATGACTTTATTAATAAATAAAATTTTTATTGCAAATATATCATTATTTTGGGTGGGAAATTTGGGGGTGTTACACTCATATCCAACCAAGTGCACATAGTAACTACACCCCATCAAAGCAATAGTCTTTAGTCACTAGAAAAGGTTTCTTCATTAATAGGTTGAAGAACAAAATGTTTTGTTTTTCATATTCTAATACAAATGTTTAGACTTTTAATTTGAGGGGCGGAGAAAATGAAATTATTAACGCGGAAATATTCGAACGTTTTAATTTTTTGACATTTCCTAAAATACTACTAATCGATTTTTTATCCCGTATTTTTAGTTTTCATTATTAATTTTAATGCTCAAATCCTATGTAGCACCGATACGGGTACGCGGAAACGCGGAAACGGGTACGGGGATACGACAAAACAAAAAGAATCAATATTTTTAGTGTATATTTTTTCATTTTTCACATTTAGGCCACCTCGATAATATTTAAGCCCAGTATAACCGCTATTCAGCCCAGGGCATCTCGAATTCCTGGATCCGCCCCTGTATACACACACACTAGTGCACCTCAAAGAAATATAAATATAGTTAACAAGTCATTAATTTAAAATGAGAAACAAGTCAAACAACCACAGTTTTGAAATTGAAAGTGCAAGTACTCGAAGTTCTAGAGTAATGAATATAGAAAATAATATCTTAAAAGTTCTAATACATATTTCCGTTGGAGCTATTAATATATATGAATAATTAAAATTAGGGATAGGAGGATGAGTGAAATAGGATTAGGCCCATTAGTTGTGTACCACATAAAAGCAAGGTAAAAATTATTTCTAGTTTTTCATTTTTTAAGAATTTTATTATGTAAATTTTAAGTGTTTTTTTGGAAGATTTTCTTTTAAAAAGTTGATACGGGTATCCGTCAGGATACGGGTATCCGAAATTTTAAAATAATTACAAAAGATGGAAACTTTTAAAAATTATAGATACAGCCCGACAACGTATGATACGGGTATCATAGAGTATCGGATACGGGAACGTTTCCGATACGCGATACGGCACCCTAGTGAAGTATCCGTGCTTAGTAGCTTAAATCTCATTTAGATTAGATTTAGAAGCGGAATAAAATGAAATAAACGAGTGCATCCCTGAACAAACTGCTTGCTCCTATTCCCACTACTACAGTACTACATACACCCCCACCCCCACTCCCACAGAATGAAGTAATGAACCTCAAGATCATTTCCTTCGTTTCCTTTCCTTCCGAAGAATAATAGGGAAATGCGGGAGAGAGCATCTGCTATCTCATCCTCAACTACCTCAGTCAGATCGACATTACTATTGGCCGGGAGAAGCGATACCGGCGGACCACCACCTCAGCTCATCGATCCGGCGGCGGCGGTTTAGCGGATGGCATTTCTTCTCGTCAGCCTTGGTGGAGGAGGCCGGCCAGGGCCAGATAGAGAGGGAGGAGCTGTTGCTGTGCTTACGGGATGCAGTAAGTATTCATTATTCATTTTTCATTTTTGTTAAACACCGATCCCACACCGATCCAGATTTCATTTTTCATTTTTCCCACATCGATCCCGTTGTCCGAGCGATTCCTTGGGAGTCTCTATAAATACGAGAGTACAGTGACTCACTAACTCACCCTTCGGGACTAATCCCGCTGGGTTGGGCTGGCCACCCTTTTGGGCCGGCCCCGGCTCCCCCTTTGGGGGCAGGAGTCGAGGCCTCCCCAGGGGGGGTAGGGGGGGGCAGGAGTCGAGGGAAAGGGGGGAAGAGGAAGGGAAAAAGGAAAGAAAAAAGGAGTCGGAGGGGAAAGAAAAAGGGAGAAAGGGGGGAAGAGGGGGAGTGGAAGGGAAAAAGGAAAGAAAAAAGGAGTCGGAGGGGAAAGAAAAACAAAGGGTAGAAGTTCTTGATACTAGATTACTAACACCAATAACCTTTTTTATTTTCATAATAGTAACATGGATAACCTTTTTATACTTGAAGATATAACTGGTAGAAGTTCACCAGATCAGTTAATATGTTTACCACTGTTAATGAAAATACAATTTCATTATCAAAATCCAATTTCTCACTTTTGCATATTTTCAATTTCAATATCAAAATCCTGGAATCCAGCCTTATCAAATCCCATTGCACCAATTGTCATGCTTCAGGATTGACCCCGTGTGTTTGCAATTTCCTTTGCAGCTGAGCTTGATGATGAATCTGATGGTCTCGTGATCCAAATTTGCCGGCCGTATTTATCCGGTAGAGAGAAGATAATTTTGAGCGAAAGGGTGCGGGCAAAAATTCTTCCAGTTCCTCCTGTCTTGTTTCCTCGTTTGTTTTTCGGAAAACTAACGGGGCAACACGTTTAACCCCATTCAGTTAGTCAGTGTCCAAAAATGATCCTTAAAGGTGAATTATGATGGATTTATTTGGTCTATTTATGAGGTTAGTGTCCACTTTGAGCTCTCTAAATGACCCAAGTGTCCATTTTGGTCTTTCTCCCAAATAAAATTGATCCCACCCAACTTTTATTTTTTTGAATCCAACCTGATAACCCTAATTTTGGGAAATGAAGAAGAATTTCATGAAATGTTACTGCATACACGTAACATACTCATAGAAAAGAAGAATATACATTAATGCATAAAAGAAGAACAACCTTTGTTCCAAAACAGAAAAGAAGAGCAACATGGGACTGCATATCACGTTAACAATATGTTGCATGAATGGGGTTTCCCAACACTAGTTTTTGTGTTACAAGTTTCTGAATCACTCAGGCGCTAGATGTGATCAACTTGCTTCATTTGGTGATGTCAAACTCTGCATTTTTATTAGCGCCTCGATGTCCCTTTAGGAACACCACACATGAAAGAAAATCTGACTCTAGAAAATCTGACAAGTATGTTAAACATCATCCTGCTTTTGGCTCACCTAATCTGTCTTCTTTCACCTCTAGTCTGCCTTTCTTGACCTTTAGTGTAACTCTAATATGTATAACACACATGGAAACAGCCATCCTTTCTTCCTCAATATCATCATCATAGTTTTTCCTTTCTTAACTATATATAGCCAGTTAGCCACTTTCTAGGAAAAAAGTAAAAAACTTGATCGCAGTAGCACCAAGCCTGGTCTTTAATTTATTTACTCCAAAGCTGATTGTTTATTCTCAAGGCCCTCATGTTGCTAGTGTGGTTGTGTTTGAGTTCTATTGACTGTTTTGGTTTCGATTTCCAATTAGCGTTGTTGAACTTCCTGTTTTAACTTTTCCTTCCCGTTATGAAACAGAATTATTGAACGCCGACATATCCAGGAATACCATGATAAAGCTCTAACAATTGGCTTAAAAGGTTATGCTCATTTGTATTTCTCTGCCACCACCGTTGTTACATTGTATTGGTCAGAGCATTTCTCTGTATTCATCGCACATTTCATCTAAACCTATTCAGCTTATAGTCCAAGAACCAGGTTAAAAAATAAATTGTAAAACTACTCTAAAAACAAAGTTAGGTTTCTAATTAAATTAGATGTACAAATAAGTGAAAGTTAGATGTATAGTAGGTGTGAATGTTGATACATAATACTAAGAGCTTATTTTTCAATTGTGATAAATAGTACTAGTATTATGCTGTATTGTGTTGTAACCACTACATATAAGCATCTCACTTCATCGCTGTCTCATAAAGGCATGATATTTCCACGCAAGTGAAATGAGCTACCATGATGGTTTTAGAAATGCATCTCATCATTCATTCGTACTTCCTTCACAGGAGGGTTGCAACAATGGGACTTGCTTAAAATTTTGTCACCTTGCTTTTTTGCATGAATTTATAGTTTTCAGTTGTTAACTAATCTCAGCTCCATAAATTATGTCGTTATAAATTTAATCCCACCAATCCCAATTCCCAACTAGTTGATATTAAGATGATCATGACGATGACCGTTTTTCAAGTTTTACTTTATATTGCATTTGCCTTTCTATTTGTGGATTGATTTACGCTTTAAACCCTCAACTTTGCAGGCATGAGTCTGCTTTTTCTCGTCTGGTAGAATGGGAGGGCATTGCAAAGGTAATTTACCTTAAGTGTTTGCTATTGCTTTGTCTTTTACGGCTTTCCAGTAATGTAATTGAGCAAGTCAAGTATAAAATGTTTTGGATTTCATTGAATTTCTGAAGCATTGCATATGTCAGAGAGCTTCGTGCTGGAAAATGCAGCTGAAAACATAAAACAAGTGATGACGTGAGTGAAGTGCCGTCTGTCAAAAAGCCCGTGTGCCAACTGCCAAGACATATTTGGTCACTGTCAACTAAACAGAACTTAAAATCAAATCTATATCATGATTTATTTCTCCTACCCTTATTATTCAGGTTTTCCATCGTTTGCAATGGAGCCAAAGATTCATTATTTTTTGGCTTGAGAATATGATGGAATAAAGCAAAGTGACTCACTAAACTGGCTGCGTTTCTTTATTATGAAGCAGCAGTCAGTCCATGCAATTTTGGATGCGATTTTCACTATGGGTCATTCGGAAACAGTCTCTTTGTGCTTTAGTACAAGGGTAAGATTGCGTACATCCGACCCCCCTTACCCCACCGTAGGTGGGAACCTTTGCGGCACTGGGGTAAATGAAATGATGAAAATGACCCTTATTATTCAGGTGTATTAGAAAGTCTCTAACTTAGCAGGATGCCATTTCTCACTATGCAAGAATGAACTAAAAGAACACTTCACTAATTCTTATAGTTATGTTTTCTCTTTGTTCTACACATCGGGACCATTGTAGAGCTGATCATTTGCTTGTACAATTGAATGGTTTCCATTACCTATTAAGATAGCTACCTCTGCTGAAGTATTTTTGTGCTTTTCTTTCAGTCAAGTAGTGTTAGAGACTTTAATAATTATGCCGCTCGTCTCGTGGAACTATGAGGTACCAATTTTTAATTGTTTCTGAATTGCTTTTTCAGAGCATCTCAATTTATAACAAGCCCATGCATGTTTCACATGCAGCCGTATGTACAGAGAGTTTATGAATACTGTGTAGTAAAGCTTATTTGCATTTTATGACAATTTTTCAGTGAGTTTATGTACAGCTTTCAACTAATCCTATTTGGAGTCCAGTGAGTTTGACAAACCAACTTACCTAAGATATAACTGGTAGAAGCTTACAACCTTACTTTACACAGAATCTGAAAATACGAATTAACTAAAAAAGTACACATACTACATTAATGAAAATTCAACAATCCCTTACCATCCTTACTTTCTAACACCCCCGTTACTAACTTTCTAATACTCTTAGTTTGTGAGGTGTTTCACATGCAGCCACATTAAGTTTCATGATGGGTAAGGTTTCATGTTCCCCCTTGTTCTCCCAGTCTTGAAATTTTGTAACCCAAAAGATCATATAAATCAGAATTAGTAATAAAATTACTAGAAAACAAATCTATGAGTACAATTGCTCCATGCTATAACTGTAACGTTGATTATTCCGGTTTAGGACCTTAGGTTTCCTTCCTCCTTTCATTAAATTTTTGAGTGACAAACTTACAAGTGGTATCAATGTGTGCACTAAATCACTCCCTGCTAGCTCTGTGTCTTACTGTCTTCGAGGATTTAGGGATAAAAAACTGCATTAGTACACTTTTAATAAAACGCTGGACCAATAGACTAAGTGCATTAACATTTGAGGACCCGAACGAACCCTGTTCAACTGATATACGTAGTACCTTTTTATAAGCCAATTCCAAGCATGACTTTTCAAACTTTAGTGGTCTATTGGAATCTTTAAAAGACTGATTATTGCCTTTTGTAAGCTGAGCTGCAAAAGTAAAAAAAAAACAGGATGTTTGGGGGATTGTAAAAACCCTTTTAACTTTTATGTACGAATCCATTCAAATAGAAATATATACATGCATTAAATGCAGGCTATTTTTTGTGTGCTTACCATGCTACTTCACCATGATACACCGCCACGATTCCCACGAAACTTTCAACACTTGTTTAGATTCCCACGAAACTTTCAACACTTGTTTAGTTCACTGGGAACCCATAGAAAAAAAAAAGGAAAAATGATCAAATATACCCTTGTACAATTACAGATCAGTCTCTTAAAATCAGTTACTATAAAACACATCATATAAACTCATCTACTTTACGAAAACATCAATTGAGTCTAAACACCAAAAGGTGACCTTTAATAACAAGTCATCTTTACTTTTTCTCTCATAATTATTTTTTTCATTTTCTTTTTTATTACACAAGGTCACGTACCAGAATGTTTTATACGGAGTAGCTTTTTAGCCTATTCTGGACTCCTACCCAGAATTTTTCATAAAAAATTTGTCTACAAGGGGATTTGAACCCTCATTAACGCCGAGGAGTCACGACCGAGATATCAACTCAAATTCTCAAAATAATTGACGTTGTGTTACTATTGCCTTCGAATAGTATCTATTCTTTGAAACCTTGCACTATTATTATTAAAAATAAATAGCTTTATAACAATAATAATTATTATAGCAACTATTTTTAACTTTTATTGCTGTTATTATATTATACTAATAAAAAGCAGAGCATTTGTGAAAGATTAAAAAATATAACTTTTTAATATATTTTGTTATAATTTTAATATATAAATATAATTGAATGGACAATATAAATGTTGGCCATTCAATTCTAATTACATTTTTAATTTTGTTGAAGAACTATACGTTTGGCCCATCAATTTTTTTATTCTTATAAAATTAAAAAAAATGAATGAGAAAGTTTTTTTTATCATACAAATTTAATCTAGAAAGAATTCCCCAAATTTAAGAAAAGCGAGTTTATGTGGTTGATATTAAATTAAAGTAAGAATGATTTAGGGGTGTTTGGTTCGGTAAACTGATTGAACCAAACCGATACTGAAATTTTGGTACGTACCAAATACCTAACTGAAATTCCGATTCGGTAATCGGCACGTATAATTTTGAAAATTTGGTATTCGATTCCGTATATGTAAAATACTTTGGTTTTCCGTGTGGGTGTGGGTGTGTACGTATATCTCCTACTTATATAAAAGGGCACTTGAACGCCGTTTCATTTTTTCCGCCCATTTTGCGTTAAACACACTTCCGTCGCTTCTATTCCTCACGTCCGTCTGACATTTTATTTCCCGTTTTTTAAAAAAATTATTCCATGAGAAATCATTCCATTGTATGCCCATCCTCAACCTACTGTTATCTCTTGGTAAAAAAAAACCTACTGTTATCTTATCAGCCCCACTATTGGAGCTCCCCTTCTTGTTCTCCTTCCGTCCGACCTCTGGCGCGTTGTTCCAGTTGATCACTACACTCATCATGCTCAGAACATCCCTACTTATGGATTATTGTATACGGAAGGCCAGGTCACAATCATTTTATCTCCTTTGTCCATTCAGTTCTTGGTAGGTGCCATTGATTTTGTTTTGAATGTTCTGAAAATCGCCATTAATGTCTGCAGACCTGAATTGCTTTGCTCTTCCTATTGTGTTTTTATTCCGGATTTAGCTTTTGCTATTGTGTTTTCATTTGTTCAGGGACTTTAGGTAGGGATTTCTATCATTTGGGGATGGAATTGAGTTGCTGGTTTGTTTGGAGGTTTATTATCTATGATAAATTTACTTTTTTTGTTGCTTTGGGTTTTTAATAGAAGTTCAGAATCCATGTATGTCTGTTGAATACTAATAATTGTCCACAACTGTTTTCCTTTTGTTGCTTTCCGTTTGAGCCAGGCCTAGAGTTTAAGAATAAAAAGTGCTACTGCTATTTTTCTATTTGTTTGCTTGAAAAAATGCACATCTAGGACAAAATAGCTAAAAAAAGTAAACAATCCATAGAGCCATAGAGGGACTCGATGCATTCACATATGGGTGCATTCATGTTTATAATTCCATAAAATTAGCCCGGGCTTTGTGATAACACTATACTTTGTGTATTTAACAGTCTATTTGGCATTCATCCAAAAATGGATTAACGATAATCCATAAAATCAAACTAGATTTAAAGGTAAGTGTTGGAACTCAGTGTGAATTTATCTATTGTTATTGTAATTCATTGCCCATGTATTTTAATTCTTCTTGGGATAAGGCTCAAATTGGACATTATGGTTTTATCAGAATCTCATATTGGACACTAAGGTTTCAAATGGACCAAATTAGACACTATGGTTTCATATATATCTCATATTGGACACTAAGTTTCATAATTCATAGTTTTTGGACACTCACTTATATTGGATAAAGATCAAATTGGACACTCACTTATATTGAATTTTGAAACTTTAGTGTCCAATATGAGATACATATGAAACCATAGTGTCTAATTTGGTCCATTTGAAACCTTAGTGTCCAATATGAGATTCTGATGAAACCAGTGTCCAATTTGAGCCTTATCTCATTCTTCTTTGGCAGGTAGATTTTCAACTGCGAAAAAGATTGAAGAGTACAATAATAGCCTATTTGAGTTGTGTCTTCTTAAGCAATCCTTACATTTTAAGTGAATAGCAGAGGTTCCCTCGTATACATAGTTTAATAGTAGATGGAAAAACCCATTTTGGGATGGTCTTTTGTCAAAGAACTGCTATATTTAATTGAAATTGCTTGACAGTGTACTCATTTGGAATTGCTTGACAATGTACTCATTTGTGCTTAATTTTAAAAATGCTTTTAAAATTATAAGGATTCTGGATTATGAGGTGTTAGCTACTTAGCTTCTATGGTTCATTCGGAAACAGTCTCCCTTATGCTTTAGTATAGGAGTAAGACTGCATAGTGCGTACATCCGACTCCCCTTTCCCCATCGAAGGTGTGGGAGCCTTTGGGGTAATGATGGTGATGATGATGAGCTTCTTAGTTAAAATGAACATGAATAAATTATTTTGTCTCTTCAAGCAACCCCACCCCAAATTATCATAAATTATCATAAATTATCATTGCATTATGGTTTGCTCATCCAAAAACAACACTCCCACCAGTTTCCCCATCTTGTTGAAACACTTGGCTGCTACTCCTCTGCAACAAAAACAAGCTCGGATTACTCATCTTCCCCATGATTGACATTATTGCTCTTTGTTCTGGAGTGATTGTTTTAACTCATTAACTTATGGGTCTTTTGTATCCCCTGTGTATATTATCTTTTGATGCAAGATGAAACTTATGCCTATAATTGATTGGAAAGTAGACCATGGCTTGCCCCTCTACTTTTACATGTATATAAATATAGATGTTTTTGCACTAACTATGCTATCCCTTTTGTGTAATTGGCTGCATATGCCTGTCAAACTTATTGTAATATGTAATATACTTATGGTTAGTACAATTCAAACTGCTCTTTGTCTTGTAAAATACCTATTGTTGATTATCATCACCACTGCTCAAATTATTCATATGATCTGTGCCTTAGTATCTGCTCAAATATTAGAGAAGTTGCCTTGATTATTCCTTCAAAATCTGACAAACACATTAGTTATGGGACTAGCCGCTAGACTTATATACATTCGTGATCAATTCCTGGCCCATTCCTTCAAAATCAATTGAAACATTTCTTTCCTAACTCATAATTCTGCCATCGTTAAAATTCAATATTCAATCACTACTTAAACATCATTTTACTTTGGATTGGGCATATAGCCTCGCGCATGGCGCGTGCCTTGCTAGTATATATATATATGTATGGATTATGGGCCGGGTCCAAGACTATTGGCCCGTTATACCTGAGCTTTGGCCCGACCAAGCTCAGAACACAGTCCGACTAGCAGATATTGGTCCGGGATTATTTAATTACTTATCGTTTTGGCTGGCCCATTAGCGTTAGTATTAGTTGATAAATCGGGCCAAGCCCATGTAGCATTTAATTGGTGGGCCTGTTGTATACGCCTATAAATAGGCCACTAACCCTTTGTATTGAAAAAATGGATTCTCACTATATTGAAATGCTGCCGAATTCTTTACCCGGGTTATTTTCTACCAACATTGATGCTTTCATTGAGAGCCATCTCTCATATTTTTTGGTAGAAACTCGGAGAGAATTTGACAAAAATCAAGTGAAATTACTCCAAAAATTATAATATCTATCAAAATACAAAAATCCAACGAGAATGGAATGATTTTTTTTTTTTTTGAAAAATGGACTAGAAAGCTTAGGAAACAAGGAGGCCCATACGAACTCCAAGGCTGATCACCTCCACCCTATGTTCCGAATCTACTTCCGATCAGGCTTGTTTGAACTCCACCAAGGAGCACCCCAGCATTAAGGACTGGAGAGGACAAACGGAGCACCAAGCAGCGGCGGATGTGGAACTCGCTTCACCTACTCCCGGAAATTCAAGACATCATTCAACACATTCATCACAATTTCAGAAATTAAAAAAAAAAACAGTCTGAAATCTGAACCGGAAGAATGAGATTTTGATCTGGAATATTTCCGATCAGGAAAACAAGTCTGATCCGGCGAAGGTGGAGGCCGTTCACGGCGATTTGCTATAGTGCAGAGCCAAAATATTCGTTTTTTCTCATCCAGCCACATCGGCGGTATCCCTCACCGGACGCGTCGCAGCGTTGTCGTCTCCATCAGACGCTTACATCGTCTCCCTCCTTGCTCCTGGTCGCTCAATCGTTCTGACCATCGTTCTAGGACCAGCTGCCATGGTCACCTGCCATCAATGGCAACTTAAGAACGGAAAAGCAAATTGAAAGCCATGGATTTCTTCTGGGTTGTCACTGCGAACGGCGTCGGATGTGACGAAGCCCCTTTCTCTCTCGTAGACAACAAGGATGACTGATGGGTTCACGCCTCATCCCAGCCGAGGTAGTCTCTAGCAGTGACATCATCACACCACTATTCCATAGCAAGTACCAGGGAGTCGGGGACGACGAGGATGGCTGGATCATCCCAACGACCTCTGACTTGTGGCCAGCAAATCCAGACGGCTCCTCCCTTATGAAACTCATCTTTCTCTGGCAGGAACACAGATGGAGAAGATGACTGTCGCTGGACTTCTTTTCTCTCTCCATGGAGAATTCAATTTTGACCTAGTCAAAATTGAATTCATATGTCAATCTAAGTTTCCATGTTGGGGACTAGAAAATAAAGCAAAATAATAGCTTCGAGCTATTTAGCACGGTGAGGGGTAAAAGAAGATGGATCGGAGGACACCCGAGCTCCGATTTAATCCTTAGCAATGCATTCAGATCGAAGTTGTCATCAACGACGACATATATCAAACATTAAAAATTTAAACTTGTAATTTTTGTTGGAATTTTCTGAAAATTGCAGGGAAATCACAGTCAAATCGTGCACCCGCACGCTCTGCCCCTATCTGAAAAGTATGGACCACACCAGACTGCCGGAGAACAGCTTACGTCAACCAAGCCGCCACCGTGCTAGACAAGAAGCGACCCGCAATCTACCGTGTTGGACCCGCACCGCTGACGGGGAGTGAGCCCTCGCCGTTGACGGTCAGACAACGGATGTAAATAGCTCCGAGCTATTTAAGATTATAGGGGTTAAAAACGTCCAACGTTCTGTTTTGAACATTCCCAACGCAGCTTTGAAAAGGGTGTATCTTTGTACGCCCGTACGCCCCGTACGCCCGTACGCTCCGTATGCTCGTACGCCCTGTATGCCCCATACGCCCCGTATGCCCGTACACATGTTCGCCCCGTACGCCCGTGCGCCCTGCACATCACTAGAGCAACAAGTTAAAGACAGCTGAGCTCCGATTCAATCCTTTCTGACCAAGCATTGCATTCAGACTGAAGATACTCATTGGCCCCGACAATGAGTCATAGTCACGTAGCATCGAGTGAGGGTTGTGCACATTGTAGCTGTCACCGTGTACGCCCGTATGCTCTGCGCTTGTGCGCCCCTAACATATTCCAAGCGGCAATTGGTGGGTCAAATATCATCCGCGTGAGCCCCACCTGGCGAGGTGGACGCAGTGTCACGACCCAGAGGTTTGGTTGCACGAGCCCGCCATGGCGAGACGGCTGCACAATCGTCACCAGGATGCGTGGTCGACAAGCCCAACCCGGCGACGTGAGCATTCGGCCACCGCCAAGAGGCTTCGTTGTACGGGCCCGAGTAGCTGAGCATGATCAGTTAAAGAGGAAGATGACAAGACATCACGTCATGGGCGAGTTTTCATCCACAATGAACACTCGCAGCAACAACCGGCGAATTGGGTACCCTTGCACGAGCTCAACTTGGATATCCTTACGCTCATATTCAACTGCCTTGAAGCTAACGCTTCTTGGGGTCATTGAGCAAGCTACACAACATTCAGTTGGTTTTGAAGGTTTCCTCGACTGATGGCCCCGTAAAGATGAGAGCATCCCTTCCGGTATCGGTGATAGATATAATCACATATTGAATTTATTGATGAAGTGTCTGCGGCATGATGTTGATTTGTTTTATGGTGGTTGTTTTCTAGATTTGTTTTCTACAAATATGCTTATCTTCTTCAAACAGGAGCAACTTAAAATAAATAACACCATTTTCTGAAATTCCAACACTGTAGACTGGCTTCATGAAATGACCTTTTATTATTTCCACCTAATAATGAACTTTCACTATTTCAACATGGGGCTAATGGCCTAATGCGTTAAGAACACTGCTTTTTCTTCTTTTTCTATAATCTGTTGCTTTTCTTCGTGAAATTTGATATTAAAATAAAGTAATGGTAGAGGACTTAAATAATATTATCTGATCTGAATTAAATTTGGACTCTAATATATTTTTGTTATAGTGATATCATATTATTTCATATATCTAGCCAGTTTTCATGTTTTTTTCTGAAAATTTTCTTATAGCAAGCTCAGCAATCTGTGTGTGATTGGATAAGAAAATGTGAATGATTTTACTCTTAAAAAATATGAACACTTTTTCTTGGTACTTAAAAAATGTTGTTTAGTCTTATATATGTTTGCTTCTAATAATGTTAACACAGATGTTTTCCATTTCTTCACCAATCAGGGATGCTATTGATCCTCAAAGACAATGGAGTCGAACTCAGAAGCTAGCAGCACATTCATTAGCCTCAGTCCCTCAGAAAGGTGAGGCTTAACTAATATATGATTCCCTTTAAGAAATGATGTTTATCAATATATGATTCCCTTTAAGAAATGATGTTTATCAACGAGGTAACCCTATGCTTAATGTTTCAATCAAATGAAGTGAACAAAGAAAACAAAATTAGGCTTGAAGGTTTTCTAGCTACGGATGTTCATTTGATGACAAATCAAAATTCTGTTTTCAAATTCAGGCCGGACCCTTGGTGAAGCCAGAAAGGAACTCTTTGGCTTGCAGTAGTGCTTATCTTGTGTTCGGCTACAGAGAGCTACTTGATATGCTTACGTTCATAATTCACTTTTTACTATGGTGGAATGGAGCAACTTGTTTATGATAAAATTATTTCTAGTACTTTTATTACTAATTCTGATTTATTACTATTTATAATCTACCTTTTGTAACTCTTAGTTGCTATTATTTGAAAAGTACTATATAATTTTGATACTAAATTATTCTCGATGCCATATGAAAACATTCCCAGATTTACGAAATTAAAGAAAATCACGTCTTATTCGAAAACAATTTAAACCATACTTGCACAAATGTGAGTATTTATCAGCAATATTTGTTTTAAAATATATGTAATACACGACATAAAAATTTATCAATGGAGTATATGGAATTATCTAAAAAACGAACGTTTAGAAAAATAAATATTAACACCAACAATTACCCAATTGATAACTATACGTCTGGCATATTCATTTCCAGGGAAGGTGGGACACTAAACACTCTGATTGCTACCTAATAAAACTCCAGATGCCGGACATTCGTTTTTTGCTCTTGTTTGCTCCTATGTTGTAAAAACCGGACCGGAGGGTGACCCGGAAAAGTTATCGGGTCAAGGGTCAACCCGGACCCGGAGGGTCAACCCGGTCAACGGCTATAAACCCGGTCAATATTTGTTAAAAAATAAATATAAAATACGTGTAATTATTAATCCTATTAAAATTTTAAAGGGAAGAAATATTATGATTCCTAATGTAATAATCACAATAAGTATTATAAGCTTATAAAATAGAAGAGTTGATCTACACTATATAGTTTAACAAAAAAAATCAAAATCCATTTAGAGTTTGTTGGAGGTATTGGTCCTACCAAGGCCTCCCTTCCACTTTATTTGTTGAGGCTTGCACACTCTATTTTATTCTCCCTTGGATACCTTTTCTTTGGTATATATCCTGATCAAATATATACCTATTTGAGTGGTTTGACTTACCCACTTGGCTGGCCCCTCCTCTGCTTCTGTCCGCTGCACTTCTTGTCTTGGTAGCATGTGAAGTTTCTTTGTATTGCATCACCCGTGACCATTTGTCTTT